CCTGCTGTCAGAACCAGGGACAGCCACTGCCTTCTGTCACTGAGCCAGCCAGAGGGCAGGACCAGGGCTCCCCTTTCCGCCTGAGCTCTGAACTCGGGGCAGGTGGGTGGAGACCTTGGGAGGGGTGTGCCGTGGGCACGAGGGCGCCCAGGTGCCTCTGTAGGGACGGAGCTGCCCTGTGGGGTACCATGGCAAACGCACCACCCTCAGGGCGGGAGCCTGTGTTGGGGTCCTCACCGTGCTGCTTTTCAGCCACGAAGCCTGGAGTCCTTTGCCACTTCTCTGAATCCCAGCGTCCCCACTCGTAAAGAGCTTACTGAGCTGCCTCCAAGCCTTGGGTAGGGCTTGCTTCGGTCTACACAGGCTCCGATAAAGATGGCCGGAAGGAAAGCCCGAGCCTGGAGAGCAGAGCCCGGGAAGACAGTTCACGCCCAGGTGGCCGGGGCCCCAGGATGTCAGAACAGGCTGACACAACCCAGAACTCTCGCAGGCCGTTTTTAGACCACGCAGACAGCGGTATGTGTCTCCAGGGCAACCCACTGCTTGGTCTCAAACACCCTGCTTGCGCGAAACAGGAGCCTGGGCTCTCCAGAGACGTCACCTGGGGTGTGTGTGTGTGTGTGTGTGTGTGTGTGTGTGTGTGCATGTGACGTGATTCGATGTGTGGGGAATTGCAGGGTGTGGGGGGCCTTCGTGATTCCATGAGGGCTGGCCTCGTTCAAAGCAAACGGGCTTCCCACGGCCACACCTCACCTCACCACCACCCACGAGGTGTGTCTGCCCTCCCGTTTCACAGATGAGGAAACTGAGGCTGCGAGGGTCGAATCACTCACTCCAGGTCAGACAGTTCGTCAGAGGCAGAGCTAGGACCCGGGCTCAGCCCTCGGGCTCCAGACCCCCAGCGAACCTTTCCCAGGATGGCACCCGCCTCTCCCCTCTGTTTCACAGCCACCTCTGACCATCCCTGGGACTCACATGTATCAGCCCCGCGGCCCCTCCCAAGCTAAACCAAGAACAACAGCTCCGCTGCGGCGATGCTGAGATTCTCTGCTCCCCGGGTGCAGAGACATCCTCAGGAGGCGTGAGGGCTTCCCAGCTCACTTCACCTGACCCAGACCAGGAAGACCAGGGAGGACCCAGGCCTTCTGCTAAGGCAGCGCTCCCCATGGGGTCAGTTTCCAATGGAGATCACACCCAGCTGCCAGGGAGCCACAGGACGTGTGTGTGAGGGACACAGGGACAGCGCAGCTCTGGTCCCTCCTCCCCACCCTCCGCGCTTCACCTGCCACTTGCCTTGGAATCCGAGTGACTCGGAAGTGGCTGAGTGCCTGCGGACTGCGGGTACCGGGGGCAGCTGAAACAGAAGATGCCATCATCGGGCAGTGGCCAGCACTTAGTCTGCAGTCCCGCCAGTCCCGCCCTCACGGCCATGGCGGCGGGGAGGGGCAGGAGAGGAGTCCGTGGAAGAGGAGCAGCCAGGAGGAGCTGCTGGGAGCTCCCGGACCTCCTGAACCTCCTAAACCATCCTGACCTTTTCCCCCAAACAACCCCGGGTAGGTGTGCAAGGCTCCCACTTCAGAGCCCAGAAAGCCAAGACCCACAAAGACTTGATGGAAAGCCCAAAGTTTTTTTTAAAGAAGTCTAGGACAAGGAAACAAACTGGTTTTGTTTTTTCAGGAAATGGACCTTCAGCACCAGGATCTGGGTAACGGGATTTTCAACCTGAAACTTCAGGACACAGAGCTAGTAAGCAGAGACCGAGGCTCTGGGCAGCGGAGGCCCTGGCTCCAAGCCCCAACCACGTCACTTCCCTCCTCTGAGGCCCGGGGCCGTCTTCCACAGAACGGGGTGGTGAGGCACCAGCTCACGGGGCAGAGGGAGGCCGCGAGATGTCAGCCCAGGTCCCCCTGCACCTCAGACCCTGCTCTTCCACTGGGGTCAGGGCGGGATCGTCAAACCATCTCCCTTTGCTTTGAGATCTCCCAGAGCTTTCCAGGCCCC